TTGTCATTAAAGTATTCTAGCTGTTTTTAGAGAGTTCAAGGGGTATTTGTGAAACAGGACCAAATGACTAATACCAAATTGACTGAGATTAGTTTCTGCCACAGGGTAGAACACAAGCTTAAAACAGAAATTAATTCCAATCACTGAATATGCATGTCAGTTATCATGCACACCAGCTAACGGCAACACCATTTCTTCAATAATACGCTTCAAATTTCAGTGACTGCGATGTTACACAAAGCAAATATTTTGCTACTTCGGTCCACAAATCACTGTGTCAGTAACTGCTGCCCATCATGAGCAGTAACCAATCACTTCACTTCTTTCAAACTTTTGTTCATGGACAAGGTCTGTTCATACAAACAATAAAGCAGGGGATCTTGTTGGCTCTTGTTTTCCACTGCTACAATGCATTCATTTTAATAAAGTGAATGATCTAAAGAGAGATTTAGCCAACAGAGATAGGAGTGAAGCAAGGAAACAAAAAGCAATCATGCTGGAAAACAATTGGAACGGAACACAAATGCAATCCTTAGTAGAAAGGACAATGGGATGGTGACTGCTACTGTCTACCGATGACACCCAGCCCAGCTGCAGAAAGTGCTTGTGATGAGCCTGAAGATGCCCCAGAGAGAGTGATGTCTGCAGAATCTTCACGTTAAAGAAACTATTCGATATTTTGCAGAATCAAAACTAGTGTGATAGTTTGTTAGATGGTGATCCAAATTCAGGAAAGAGTATGACATTTACCAAGACAGAAAAGATGCCCAGTACTCCTTGGAAGTTGCATGAGAAGATGATTTTCAAATTGCTCTTGAATACATTTTTCACAAATAAATGTTTCCAACATTTTATATTATACACTAAATATTACTTTTACTAACTTTGCATTACCCTAAACATTTCTAACCAGAGAGTTTTTAGTATTTTGATACAAACTTACAAAGCTCACAGAAGAACTGCCAAATACACATTCAGTCTTTATACCAATCACTCCCTTAGTCTTAAATGCCTCCTCCCACACCCATTTTCTTTTCCTGACAATCTTTCATGCATCTTACCAAAGCCAGATTAAATGTTAAGACTGCTTTGGGTATGTTTGGCTTGCACAGTCTCAGAAGAGGGCTAGACACCCAAGTGTGTGATCTGTTAGATCCATGCAACCTGAAAATTTATGGATAACCTATGGGATAGGTTTATATGGATCAGCCCCTCAACATTTTGCTACAACAGCTTACCTTGATGAGTGGTATGGCATAAGGACGATATGCCAGACTGGGATTTGGGAAGGCTTGTGTTCTGCTGTCAGCTCTGTGATTAAAATGAAATCCAGGACAGGTTGCTTAACCTTTTTGTTTCTATGGAGTCTAACAAAAACAAAGCAAAACAAAACACAGACTTATACATACTTCAGGAAAAGAAAAATAGTATGAAGCTTTTTCAACAGATGGTACTACCCTCATCTGGGGGATCCTAAAGGATGTTGCATATCACAGAAAACCCACTATACTTTTAGGCAAAATTGAAAATGCATGTGCAGCAATCTCAGTGACCAAGGTTACCCAAGCAGTAGTTTGCTACACTACTAATTGTCTGGCAGTGAATGGCCACTGCTTTGAGCACTTCTCGAAATTGTACAAACCAAAGGTAATCTGTACTAATCTCAAGATGTCTCAATAAATTTAGCATTAAAATATTTATTTTTCCTTTCCTGAAGTGTGTATATTTTTTTTTCAGACTATTTCTTTCTTCATACAATAGGTTGTGAATAGGGTGAATAGGGCAATTTTCAAAGTTTTTTGGCACTAGATTTCTAGAATTTTCTTTCATTATCAAAAAGAGTTTGCACAAGAGCAATAAGTACTGAGTGGATCTATGATCAACTTGACTTTATGGGTGAGGCTATTCATGGACCATTTGATTTTTTTTTTTTTTGTCTTTTTCCTTTTTATCGGTACCGGAGATTGAACTCATGACTGCCTGCTTTCAAGGCAGGCGCTTATGCCGCTGAGTCAAATCCCCAGCCCCCGACCATTTGATTCTTGAGAAGCACTGACTACTCCGTATTTTACTATTTACACTACATATTAAACTATAGCTCTTTGATAGTTTATGAGTGCATTACTATTCCTTCAGCCGGGTTGACTGTTTAAAGATTCCTGGAGCACAAATGCTGGGCTCTGGAGAAAAACTTAATTCCTGCCTTGGAGGTTCTCATGGTGTGGTGAGAAAAACAACCCATTCTTCCTGCAGGAGAGACATAAAAATTTGGTTTTGAAGAATGGATGTGATTGCCCATGATACATGATAAAGAGAAGTGAGGGAGGAGGAGGGCATTTTAGGAAGGGGGCATGGCTGGTGCAAAGGCATGGATACACAAAATATTAATAAAAGCATAGAGTGACTGACAGAGGGTAAGTGGGGAAAAGGTGGTGGGAAACAGGACTGCAGGGTTCTGTGAAGAATTAGAAACACTAGGTATTTCTAACAGGAAGGTTTTAATACAGGGAGTTAGGCTGGAAGGGAGGAAAAGCACAAGAGTTGTTATAGAATGTTTAGATCATGTCTCACTGCTGTTACCCAGGGGAAGTGAGGGTGCTGTTTTCTCCTGATGGGTGGAAACTGGATAAAACCACTGCAGATATAGCTGCTGCAGTCCTGAACTAGAACAGCTTTTGCAAACACTGAGTCTCCGCATGAGTTGCTCCTACTGTAAACTGAACAACATCCTTAAGCGTCCTTTCCTTCTACCAGTCTTGTGTGTGTACATCCTAGTGACAAATCACACCTGGAACCTGACAGCAAGGGAATCTGGGAAATAGTTTCCAGTCCCTGTGGTAGGAGTAGAAATGAATGCTGTGTGGCAGAAAGAGTATCTTACTTAGTTGGCAAAGTGGGCCGAAACCACAGGGCCAAGGGACTGGAGAGGCATGCCAGTTAAGAAAAAGCAGTGTAGGATGCTTCTGGACAGTCAAAGCAGGATTGTCATGATGAGATGTACTTTGTGAATACTGGTGGCACAATGGAGCCCATTCTTGTGAACTAAAAAACCAATAAAAAAACTCATCAAGCTATATGGCAGTAATTTACTAAATAGCTATTATACAGAGCAGAGCTGTGTGCTGCGAGAGTCCTCTTAAAGCTTTTTTAAACTTTTAATATTTGTGATAATCCATCCATCCAGGTTTCTCCAACTTTTTACTAACTGTACATTTTACAATAGACATATAAGTTATCTGTAATCTCTGCCTGTAAAAAGCCAATCTTAAATCATTTTTCCTTTCAGGGAAAAATAAGGGTATTTTGGAAGTTTGAAGGATTGATCCAGTGCTTCTCAAGGTATCTTCTGAGGAAACATAGTCTCTTAAAAAGCTGTTGAAAATGATCTCATAATCAAACTAGCTTTAAAAAACTTGTATAATATACTTTCCTATGAACTTAAGCCACTAGTAAAATTACAGTAAAAACTTAATTTTAAAAGTTTTATCAGCATTAGTCACTTTCGACTTTTAATATCCAGTAGTGGCTGAGTTCTTCAGAGCTGTTAGGGAGACTGGATGCTTCTATAGGACAGCCAAACTGAAGGCTACAGACTATTTATAAAAGTAGATTTAGATGTGAGACGTGCAAAGAAAACCATTTTTGTTTAGGTGTAATTTCTCACATTTGGAAACATTTCCAAGTAGACACGACATAAGCAAATTTAAATGCTAAAAAACCAAGTTTTCAAAAATTACTTTGATAAATAAGAAACAGTAAGTGCTAGAACAATCACCTAGCAACATGTCAGTCCGGGACAATGGAAAACCTGTAACTATTGTAACAGGATGTTAAACGGTGAGCTTATAAATGCTGTACTCAAATGTTGTTGGACTTCGTAGAATTGGTAAAGATTTTATAAAACCAGTTATGTAACTAACAAATCGTGTCTCTCACAAGGGCATGAACATGAGTGAATGGAAACAAAAATTGACTTAGGGAGGCTTTTCTTTGGAGAATGATGCTGATTGTTCACCTGTCATTCAAGAGCCACAGAGGGATGCTGTTTGGGTGTCTCTGCCTCTAGTGTCTGTGCTTCCTGCAGCACGGAATGTCTTCTTGGTATCTGACTTGAATGGGGGAGACAGCTGGGCCACCAGCTTTGGGAATGAAGGTAGAAGCTGTTGTAGGTTTGGTTAGTTTTCTTAGAATTAGAGCAGAGCACTGACAGTGGGCTCATGGCTTCATATCCTGCCTGAGTAAGAGTGGTGTAAACTTAATCAGAATATGGTAGCTGGAGGAAAATGTTTTGCCTGTATCACAGGAAGTTCAAGTTCCATCCCAAGACAAGTGCTTTGAGGAGCTGTCTGTTTGAAACAGCCGGAACGTCTGCCAGTCTCACCTCCCAATTTGGTTGGGCAGGGGCGCTGAGGACAGTGCAACATGGATAACTCTCTGCCATATAAAATGCTGGAGGAAATCGTACAAAGTCTGATTAATAGAATTTGGCATTAAAGCATTTGTTACAGGAAGAAGCACCTACTGTGGACACTGAGAAGTTGGTGAAGTGGTTTGCATGTCTCTAACTCCCATACTGAGTAAGCCTCAGAATCATCTGGAAGCAATGTGCACTCATAGAAAACAGAAGCCAAGTCGGGTGTGGGGGTGCACTCCTGTAATCCCAGCACTCGGGAGGCCTGAGGCAGGCGGATCATTGCGAGTTCAAGACCAGCCTGGGCTACAAAGTGAGCCCAAGGTCAGCCTGAACTGCGTAGTGTGACTCTGTCAAAAAGACAGAAAAAAAAAAAAAAAAAAAAACCCAGAAGCCAAGTTGCACAGTCCTTCAATCTTCTCAAGCTCTTGTGTAACTGTAATATATTCATTTTTGGCATCTGGAACCCACTAGATCTACTCTCAGCAAAGATGCAACTTGGCTTTTTAAGGTCAGTCTGGCTATGTTGGCAGCTGCTAATGGTTTTACTGAAGATGGTATGTGAAGAAAGGCCATCAAGAAATACAAGTAACATCTCTTACTAAATGCATTACTTTTTATTACTACTTGATAAAGCTTAATATTTTTCTAAAAGAAAAAAGTTGGTTTACATGTAGTGGAGTTACAAGTAGATGGCTAAAGATAGTATAACTAGTAGAAATAAGAGCAGAGCTAAATAATATGAAAATAGAGCAGTAAGCAGCAATAAAATTAATTCCTACACAAAGCTAGCAGTGCAACAGGATAAGCGGAAAGCAGCTTTACATTAAAAAGTTATTTAAATACAGAAATAGCACCTTACAAAAAGGAATTGAAGAATGTAAACTCGGTAGGTAGATTCAAGTATAAAAGTTATACCCCCAACTCTTGTACCAGAACGAAAGGGTTTCACAAACCCTGGACAGTGTAGGGCACACACACCCTCAGTGCTGACGCAGCTGCACGAGTGATCCTTAGCAGGATCACCAACAAGTATCTTTTGCTTTCACTAAATTATACAACGATAGACTCAGGATTGCCATTGCTTCTTCCCTAACCCAAATATCCAAATCTAGCTTAGCAGCTTCACTCTCATCAGTCATTCTGTCAGAGAATCATTTTCCTGACAGAACCAACCACCGATTATTTTTACATCTCTTAAAGCCACACTAAGAAACAGGCATTGAATAGAAAAGCCATTTTTCTTAGTTGGCTCTTGCGAAGTGTGTTCACAAAGTGGTCACATTCTCATTTTGCAGGATTGTTTCTTAACACCTCTCAAGAAGGACGAATTCTCTGAGTTTAGGATAGTCACATCACAAACAGAATTAAAAAACAGAGATCAAACAAGTAGAGAGCATCCAGAAACTGTGAGGGGGGGAAAAAAACCCAATTTGTTTCCACCTAAACACAGGCCTCTTGGTGAAGGTATTTTGTGAAAGTTTTTAATCATGATAGATTTAAAATGTATGTACCTTGTCCAGATTTATATGTTGCATTATCCTGTAATCTACCTGAAAATGCATATTTTCATTTGTTTTGATAAGAGACCATCAGTATTAGTTCAGACTATTCATTACTATGCAATGGTTGATGGTTGAAACCACTCTTAATCTAACTTCAGAGAAGGTTGTAAAAAAGGGGAAAAAATACCATGTTGTAAACTTTAAAAGTTTAGTGTTGATAAAATTTGACATAAATAGCAAATTTATTTAATCTGGCTACCTACCTCAAGTTCTCAAAAATCTTGTCAGGGTAATATGCTAATAGTATCTTGTAGTTAATATAAAGCTACATTACTCAGACTCCCAGAGTCTTTTAAATTAATATTTTTATTCTTTCATATAACATTTTATTGGGTCCAAAAATAAAAAAAAAAATAGCCCTATACTAAAATTCTAAATCTAAGAAAAGTTTACCAAAGAAGAGAAAGAAGAAAAAAAAGAAGCAGAGAAGGAATGAAGGATGCCATTTGAAGAAATAAGAGTGAAGCAAATATCAATAAATCTAGAAAACAATGAAGTAGTTTGGTTACTTAATGAACCCCTAAAGTAATCTGGTTTATAGAGACACTGCATAAGTTTCCAGAATTGTATTTGTGCTACAACAATGAGCCTCTGCACTCACTGTTATTTGGGGGGGGGGGGGGGATGATACCATATAACTGGTTGGAATTCTACAGTGCACCCATTTTTCCTTTTACCCTTCTAAAGAAGTTAAGAAAAGAAAGAAACCCAGCAGAAATCACGTACTGACCTACATCAGCTGCTATATCATCACTCTTGAGAATTTCAGTCTCATCTACGCTCTGATTTTCCATGTGATTACTTTTTCCCATCCTGATTCATTTTTACAAACGCTTGCTAAAAGGCATTCATACCTGATACTCTATAATTAATATTAAAATAAAAATCGGCCACATAATGAAGGAAAATGAACACAGTAGAAATTTTAAACGAACAGTAAAAACCTCATTGTTGTCCCGTTATCTAAGAAGCAGCCATCAGGCGCCCAGGCTTCCCCTTAGTTCTCATGATCGGATCGGGTTAGCACAGTTCAGTTATAGCTGGGTGTGTCATTCGGTTATTTTGGTCTTGACGTCTGCCACATATACATGTCTCCTCCACATTACTAGGTTGTAGAATAAGTGCGGGGCAAATTAGAGGAAAAAGTACAAACATTCAAGTCGTCATACCCTGAAAAGTATGTGTTAGGCTGTAGTTGTAAACTCTTTGCACTAAATCCCATTTTAGGAACAAAATAAATAATACCATAGGATTCATAACTGAAGGTGGCTTCCCGATGAAGCCTAAAGAAGCAGTAGCTTTTTAAACTGCAGAAAGTTCTCTCACCACAGATTTACTCAGGGCAAGTGGAAATACATATCAAGAGTGCTTACCCTGCTTAAGTGCTAGATAGCGCCCCCTTCAGGAAAACCACAAGGCCCCAGTAGCCTGTTCAGATCTACGTCCAGGAATCAGATGATTCTTGAATCAAACCACATTAGTCAGCCAGTGCTTTCACTGTGACACCATGCAGAGCCTTACTCTGCCTGGCACGACACGCACAATTAGTTAAGAACTACTTTCAGGAACACAGATGATCCATGACGTTGGGAAGATAACAGAACCAGTGGACAAAAGAAAGAGCAAGGACACGAGCTGAGGACTGATGATGATTATGTTCCACTTAGGACACTGCCTGTGACACAGGGAAATTCAGGTGGTTTAATCCCACCCCACCTGCCAAAGCATCTGTCTAGTCAGGCCCACTGCTGGGGATTTCTAGTCTCCTCTGGGCTGAGCTGGTGTTTCGCGACTGACTCCTTTCTCTTCTCCTAAGGACAGGGTCTCCAAGGCTGCCAGGTGTCTTGAAAAATGTCTCTCGGTGTCTGCATCGCATACTCTTGGGTGTCACTGGAACAGGTGACTGAAATAACAAGAGCAAAGTCACAAGTTAAACTCTTCAGTCTCTGAACTCAAAGCTTTTTCTTGACTTTTGTCATTCTGATCCCTGTGCAGGTGTCCCGTCTTCTTGACTTTAGTTTCCTATCACGCTCATTCCTTGTATCTTTTTTACATCCCTAACGTCACTGAAATTTAAATTCTTGCTGATTTGGGGTGAGGAAAGGCCCCCTACCAAAGAGGTTAAGACATGGACAGGGCCTGGCTCTCCCTTCTGTGTGACCTTGTGCAAATTACTTAACCCATTTATCCCGTAGCTGTTTCATCAATGCAGTGGGGATGACAGAAATGTGACTATCAAGGCTGTAAGGGTTAAACAAGGTGACCTTTATAACACATTTTAGAGCACATGAAACAAACAGTAACTGTACATGCATGCTCTTTGTTTACATACTAATGTTCAGCCTGTCTTGTTAAGTTTATCCCCTTAATGTGTCCTAAAATGTCAGAGGCCATTATCCTGCTGTATCTTTAATGCCTAGATCAGTGTTTGGCTCAAACTTGTGGGAAAATGCACATGTTGGGGCTGGATATGTAGCTCAGTAGTAGAGTGCTTGCCTAGCATGTTTGATTCCACAGCAGCGCAAAAAAAGTGTACGTTGTATTAATCATCTTGTTTAAAAACCTCATGCAATTATTTCAATACCTGGCATACTTCTGACCCTTTGAATAACTTGTCTAAAGTGATTTTTTCTGGAATAATAAGTAATCACTCGAAGTAATACCTTTTATATTGTAGGAATTAAGCAAATATTTACTGTGGTTGAGGGACAGTTATAATAGATTCATTTATACTTATTAATATGCACTTTTTTTTCATACTAGGGATGGCCTTGTGCTTGCCAGGCAGGTACTTATGCTGCTGAGCTAAATCCCTGGCCCTATGTATGTTTTTATATATGTATACTATATACAGACCCATTGCCTCCTAGACATCATATTTTAAAAACATGCTAAGAATCTGAGTTAGTATCAAGATTTGTTTCCCTAAATTTTATACTATGTAATTTAAAATTCAGGGTCTAATAAAATGAAAGCTTGGAGATTACTGAGAACATCTAAACATCCAGCATTCCTCAAAAAATCTACTCTCATGGGGCTGGAGATTTAGCTCAGCGGCATAAGTGTCTGCCTTGCAAGCGCGTGGTCTTGAGTTTGATCCCCGGTACCGATAAAAAAAAAAAAAAAACCTACTGTCATTTAACTAAGATAGGCTGCCTTTATTCTAGGAGACACAATGATGAATGAAAAAAGAACTCTTGTCTGTAAAGCACAGGAAATTCTAGGCCCACAATGGAAGCCAGGGAGAGCTTGCCCTGACACCTCTATCCTGAAACCACGCTCCTACAGTGAGAACTAGTTACACGCAGCAGTGGGGCCCCAGACCTTACCTGTTCTAATTTCACAACTGACACTGGGTGTCCCATGTACACAGGAGACTCGGGTTGGATGACATTGTGCGACCTTGCCGTCACAGGACTCAGGTTCCATGAGGGCTGACCCTGCAGCTGAGGGTCTGCAGAATGGAGTGTGGATAACTTTGGATTAATCATGGCTGCAGGACTGACAAGAAGATGAGCTGTAGATCCAAGGCCAGGCAAGTTGAAATTCACAGGTCCTGTGTTTGGGAGCGTGCCAGGCGCTGAAGAAATCGGCCCGGGCATTGCAGAATAGATGACAGGAAAAGGGCCCAGAGGCGGAGACGGTAAGACCATGCACGGAACACTGAAGGGTGGCGGCTGACCTGAGGATGGTCCCACAGTGTGGGGGATTTGACTGCCAGAGAAGAGCACATTGAAACCATTTAATCCTGAAACAGAAGAACCACAGAGAAAATCAATTCAGCATAATGATTCCATTCGTGTTCACATCCTTCCGTGGCCTAACAGGAGAACATGATAAATCAATGAATGATGGAAGCTTCTCCTACTCCATCAAGTCAAACCCCACATCTGTGCTCTCCAGCTCACAAGGTTCTTCCCATCAGCGGTCAGGGCGGCACTTGGACATTTACCTGCATGATCATATGTGAGGCCTGTCAGGCCTGCCTCCTGGCAGGTTCCACAGAACCCAAAAGGAGCAGGAAAGGCAAATTTGGAAGGGAAAATTATTTTTATTATTATGAACTTCTAACTAAAACCTTCTACTTCCTCAAAGATTATCACAGGCAACAAATCATAGCAATATTAATAGTATTTTGACCATGTCATAAGTAAAAAGTAGAAATATATTCACATTATTTATCAGCTACTGCAGAGTTCCACACTTTCTTAGCACAATTTTGAGATGATGGCAATTTGGACTTGTCAGATCTTTTCCTCACTGTAAATAATTTCAAAAATTATGTTTCGACTTGTTCTTCAATATAATTGGTCCTTAGTAATTCTATGTTTTCAGTTCTATGCATCTGAGAACACTGTGTAGAGGAACTCACAGGCTTCTCCAGTTTAATCTATGGCTAAAAAAAGAGGAAAAATCGCTGTGCTGAGCTAGTTTTCACTGAGCAGTAGCTGAGTCTGATTTTGTAAATCAAAGTAACCCCAACACTGAATACCATGCTCAGAATAAGCATTCAAAGCTAAAGAAATGATAGAAGTAATATTTACCGTATGTGTTCTGATAGGCTTAAACTAACAAGAAACGAAAGGAATCAACTTAGTATCTTCATATCAAGAGTAACTTTATAGAAAATAACTTAAAAATTAGATTCTATTGTAATCTAGTTTTAATTTGAAACAATAACAGCGTTTACTATTTACCAGGTGCCAGATATTTTAAGTCCCTCAAATTTAACATTAAATCTAACTCAGTGTTCATAGCACTCTTATGAAGCAGGTGCTGTCACTGTTGCTGCTGTACTAATTAGGAAAGTTGAATGCTTAGCTTAAGTTCAAGTAGATATTAAGAGGTTTTAAACATCAAGCTCTTGCACTCCAGATCATAACAAATCCAAGTCAAAACAAAAAAGCTAAGTGTAAAATGACTCAGAAACAGTAGACAGCAGTGTATCAACAAACTTACTTTCTTTGGTCAGTGACACAGAAGAAACTTTATAGTGACCAACACAGGTCACAAAGCCAAGATGACACCTCTTACCAGATGGAGACTGCACATAAAGATACTGCATCAAAGATGGTTCTTTGGTGCTTTCATTTTCTCTTGAAAGTTTTTCAGTATCTGCATTTCTTGAAGGATTTCCACACTCAGAAGGAATGAAGCAGTTTGCTGTAGCATTTCTAGAACGCTCCTCTGCTGCAGGGTATGGACCATTCACATGAATGTCTTCCAGGGATGCAGAGCTCCTGCTTCCCATAGTCTTGGCAGAGGCAAGGTCTGAGGAATCTGAAGGCTTCTAAGTGTAACCAAACAGGAAACATAAAACCAAGTCAAAAATCCAACAATTAGTCACACAGTACTTTTCCCAAAATACCTAACACATACACAAAAAGGTAAAATATAGGCACGTGCCAGTGATTCATGTACATCAGTCGTTTCCATCCTGACAGGAATAGTGTAAGGCCATGTGTATTGTAGGCTCATGATTCCTAAATTTAGACATGACAATGGAAATCCACCCATGGTGTTTAGACTAAAAGTTTCTGAGCTGGTAACAATGAAGAGCGTTGACGCTCCAGTTTCTCAGGGCCTTCTAAGAACTGTGGGCTGGCCTGAAGCCTTCTTGGTTGTCTAAGACATATGCTTGTCAGATTTTCACTTTTGATCTGCAACCCTAGGCTATGTACAGAATTAGAAAAACGTACTCTGGCAAAAGACATCTAAAGCAAGGCTCTTAATTAACAGAGGATTTCCATGCACGCAGTGTGTCCAGCTGACCCAAGGCAAACTGCTGTAGATGGGGGTGCTGATCTTTCCAAGTCCTCCTGCATATGTGTCATTATTCTCTGCGTGGTTACTAAGTTGGAGACTGGTGGGCAACTCATGTTTTTATTCTTTTCATTTGGTAGCTAGGGAAAAGGAATTGCTGGGTGAAGAGACGTGAACAACACAGGAACTGCCGGCCAGCCAGCCAGCACCCGTGTTCCCAGCTCAGGAATTCAGCTGTGACCTGGACTGAGATGACTTCATCAATGAGCCTAACTTCTTTATCTTGAAAAGTAGGCAAAAAAGACTGAGGCGAGTTAAACAAATAATGTTAGCACTGCCTGCCACTATTTGCTTAATTGATCAAGCTTTTTTTCTTTTTTATACTTTTTGATATTTTAAAAGAATTGTGATTTTCATAAAAACCACTCCCCACCCATTCTTTTCTTCTTGTGATACCCGGAATTGAAGACAGTGACTTAGTAGAGTTACTCAGACTGAGTCTTATTGGTATCTTATGTGTACCTCTGTCTTCAGGGTTACTGGGATGGCATCAGACACATTCACCCCCACTCCCTCACCTTGGGCATGACTAGCGATAAGGGGCTGTCTTCGAGGTCCTGACTTTGTCTTTTAGTGGCAGGCTCATGCTCCTCGAAGGCCTTCCTGTGCTCACAGAGGCGCTTTTGACTGGAAGGTGTCAATGGCAGCTCTGTTGTGCCGGGGACCTCCGAGCTTCTGCTGTCCCTCTCCAGTCCTGACTCTGGAGATGGTCCTTCCCGCAGGCTCGCACACAGCATGAACAGTGAGGTGGAGGGCACGTACATCAGGGGCTGGCCGGCAAGCATGGCTGGCTTCACACTCTCCCCGTCAGAGGACATGGGAGCAAGGGAGACACCTACTGCTCCGCTGAGACTGTTCTGCATGGAGAGTGCGGGCAAGTCTGTTTGGGCAACCGAAAGTACTTGATGGGCCAAAGGATTAACACAGTAGTCAGAGTCAAAGGGGAGGCTGGTGTTCGAGCTGCCTGCTGTAGGTACTACTCTCTTACTGGCAGAATTTCTTTCCCTGTAATGAAAAGAAACACAGTGAGCACCACAAGTAACCACACTCTCCATCTCCAACTCTGCCTTCCGGAGAGAGACTGAGCCGATTGGGAGTGGGGTGACATTGTTGCGGCTGTTTGGTGGCAGCAATCACGGGCAGAAGAGAGACTGGACCAGACTTTGATTTACAGAAAGACTAGGCTGTTGAAGATCAAGTGTCGAATAAGCAAAGAGGAGAGTGAATAAAGAAATAAAGTCATCTACTAAATAATTACTTTCTATCATTCTTGTTCTATGCTGCTCAGTATAACTACAGAATTCTTAGTATACATTTGAAATTAAATCCCATTCATGTATCAGATTATAAGCAGTATCTGGGCCTTTTATAAAAAAAAACCTCCAAATATTTAACAATATGCTTATGCTTTTCATACGTTTTTGGGATGAGAAGAGGAAAATCCTTTAAGAAATGCTAGAGAAGACAGATGTCTTGTCGCCCTTTTGGTGGAAGCATCAAGGTCTACACTGCCGACTTTCTCATCTTGCATTTTGCTGCAGGGAACAAAATGGAGCGCACTAGGGTACACATTGGGAGGAGTACCCCTTCCACTATGGCCTCGCTAAGTGTGGCATCAGTATTATCCAGCTCTGTGAAACTCAACAGGCCCAGAATGAGTGTATCAACCACCACCCGCCGCCCACCTATCGGTCTTCGACCTCTGCAGCTGTACCAATAATGCTGCCATCACCGTACCCCTTACATGTCCTTGCTCCCTCCTTTCTGTTTTTGGGGACAAGGACTTGCTCTGTATTTCAGGCTGGTTTTGAACTCACTTTACAGCCCAGGCTAGCACCAAACCCTCAATCCTGCTGCGTCAGCTTTCCTAGTGCTAGGATTGTAGGTACATATCACCCACCTGGCTAGATGTTCTTTTTGATGCCTCACCAGGAGTGAGTGAGTCTCCTGAACCACTGGCTTACACTAATTCCCCTTTCTTTCTCTCTCTGACACAGTGCAGATCTGTACTTTAGCAGACCAGAACTATTACCAACCAAGGCCCTGTTTGTTGACCTACCTGTTCATCAGGAACTGTTTACTTCTAATCTCATCTGTTTAAAGGAGCCAGGAAGATCATCCCTAGTGAATTTGTTCTTTAGGGTCTGTCTGTGGAATGTAAATGCTTCTTTCTACTTGGCTTTCAATGAACTTTGTTATTATGGCCTATATCCAATCACTTATGAATGATATTTCCTGTTATTATCCTTTTTGGAAAAATCATGACAGTTAAACTAATCGGCCTTTGTCCATCTATTTTCTGATTCTGACTCACAATCTGTTTCTTACTATATGTTCATTAAGAACCCCACTCTCTCTTTAACGTTTCTTCTTCTTTCTCAGATTATATACTGATTTGTTTCAAAATTAAACCACAAATTTAAAGCAGATGGCCTGGATTTGAATTCTGCCTCTTCATTTAGCCTGACCACGGGCAAGTTACTTAACCTCTTTTTAGTTTTGTTTTCATAAAATGAGGGCAATGGTAGCAGCCTCAAAGATTATGATCAGCTGGGTTAACGGACATCGAAGCAGTACCTGGACTCAGTACACAAAGTTAGCTATGATGATGACAAGATGATGCATGGGACTAAGATGCATCATTTGTCAATGTCACGTCCATGTAACCTTTATTAAAAATCAGTGCAATTCTTTTTTATTTTGTTCTTTGTATACAAACTGTCAGAGATTAGAGGATACATTTTTCAGACTTTTGCATCAATGATAATACACAGATAGGCACAAAGGGAAAACTGATCATTTCTTAAATTTTAAAAATGGATGATTTAAAATTTATCTCAAGGGGTGACATTTCAATCTAATTAAGATTAACAGTAAGAAACAGAAAAGACCACTTACTGTAAATTGTCTTCTATTTTCTGCCTGTAGACAGCAGCTAGACTTCCAATTTCTAAGGAATAACCCCCTGATCCTGAAAAGGAAAATGAAGGTTTAACAAATACGGCAAGGGGCCTATATATACCTCTTGCGGTGGAATCTATTACAAATAACGAGGGGATAATAAGACTATCTCAAATCTGTTCTTGTTTTGATTTAAAGAAAGAAATTTCCCAAATGGCAAATTCGGGTCTCATTAAGAAGGACTAAGAAACCAAACCAAGCCAAAACCAAAGTAAGTGTTGCTTTGTCAGTCTGCTGAATTTTTTAGATATATTAAACAGGCCAACCGTGGCAAACCAATTGATTAAGGCTGACTGGATCAATTTCAGGCGTGGGGCTATGTTCACACACTGTGAAGTCAGCATCTCCTTTGCTGCCAGTAATTGTTTTACTTCAGGCAAGTGAAAAGCAGACCTCTGTAAAAATAGGCAGGATCTACAATCAGATCATTTTACAATGTCAGCATATGGGTACGGTGGTAGCTGATGGATTGCATGGAGTCAGCAAGGGCAGATACCTTGTTCCTCTCTGTATGGGCTGCTGGGTTCTGAGATCACTTTCCTCTCTATCCTCTCAGAAGTCTGAACTGTGTTAAAGGAACCATAACGAGACAGCCTCTGTTTCGCACAGACTTGAACTTTGCTGTATGCTTCTCTTTTCAATTCTGGTAAGACAGATGTAGAAATATCCACCAGTTCATCATCTAAATAAACGAGAGAATTGGCAGTGTTTGTTATGCAGCTGTAATTCAGGATAATCTTAGTCTTTTCAAGAGATGACTTTGAATCTATAATTAGAACTGTTACCCTATAAATAAAAGACAGTCAAAGGAATTTTATGAGTCTTGTCTCAAACCTCATTTTTCGATATATTTTGTTTTAAAAGTTAGTGGAGGCCTAACAAGTGAGAATGAATCCATATATATTCTGAAATTATCTGAACTACAACAAAAGTAGAGCAAGATGTTCTTCAACCCAAACTGGAACAGGCCTGACATTTTAATGCTCTGTTGGGCAGAGTATCAAAGGAAAACCTGACCACACTCAGCACAACCTTGCATATTTTGAGATTCACTTTCAAAATTAATTGAAATTTGCTTCTTGTGCCAAAGCTCTGGGGCAACGAGTAGAGGAATCACTATTTGCTATGATTAGGCTTTCTTATTTCTTTCTCAGGCTGCAGGAGGCTCAGTTACTAAGTGACCACAGGAGAAAGGTCAGCAGACTTCATGGCTGAAATGCTGCAGAGCAATAAGGTAACAGAACGTTGGTCCTTGAGAGACTATTAGTGCTTCAAGGCACCTGTATATAGTCAGGCCAGTGCTACCCATCTAGACCCAGGCAGCCAATTCTGCCATCCTGACAGCGAATCTTTCCTGGCTTGTTTGTGCTCATTTTTTTCTAAGCTCAAAATAATACTTTAATTACAACAGTGATTTAACACACAGGAACACTGACTTACATTTTATAAAATGCACACTTTGATGGTTAATGTAACTTTAAAAACACTTAACCTCCTGGAAGACAAAATAGGTAAAACTCTTAAAGTCATAGGAGTAGGTAATTACTTTCTGAACAGGATGCACAGGAAATGGTACCAAGCATCAAAAAATGGGATCATATCAAACTACAAAGCTTCTGCACAGCTGAAGAAATAACCAACAGTAATAAGTCAATGTATAGGTGGGATTTTTTTTGTTTTTGTAACTGTTCCTCAGAGGACTAATAAATAGAATATATAAAGAGCTAAAGAAGTACAAGTGTCCAATAAGTACATGAAGAAATGCTCAACATGACTGGCCATTAGAGAAATACAAATTAAAACTATACCAAGATTCCATTTTATACCAGAAAGAATGGCAATCATCAAGAAATCAAAAAGTAACAAGTACAGGCCAGGCTGCAGTAAAAAAAAGTCCTCCTACATTGTGGGTAGGAATATAAACTAGTACAAACATGGAAATCAGGATGAAGAGTTCTCGAAGAACTAAAATTATCTATTCCTTATGACCCAGCTACCTTCCTTTCTAGGGATCTTCCCCAAAGACATCATACTACAGCAACAGACGCAGACCAACGTTTATAGCAGCACCATTCATAACCTAGAAGCAGCCAGGCTACCCATCAAGAGATGAATGCATCAAGAAAGCGTGCTAACTATATACAATGGGATACTAGTTAGCAAAAAAAGGGACAGATTTGAGACATTTAGGAAAATGGGTTCACCTGGAAAATATGTTGAGTGAAATGAATCAGAGACGTAAGCTCAAATACTGCATAGTATCTCAAATATCGTATAGTACAGCATAGTACAAAGAGAACAATAAAGGATGATAGGAGACAAGGGCATATATCATTGACAAATGGTAAAGGGAAATAAGCAGAACTGTTGATTTCTAGTTTTATTCTGTTAGGTTCCAGGTATAGGAATCTAAGAACTTCTATAAATATAAACATTATATGCCATAAACAGAAGAAGAGATTAATATCAACAAGAATGAAAATGGGGAAAGAGAATTCAGAGGAAGGAGGAGGGAGGGAGGGGGATTAAAAAAAGAATCAAAGCCTTTCCCTGTGAGTCAGCACCACTTGCAGACTGTGGGGGCAGAGAACAAGGCCATACCAGGAAGCAGGCCCTGCTGGAACTAGAGCCATGCGTGAGCTGCCACTGGCCTGGGGACAGCCAGATCCCAGCCTTCTGGCATGCAGACTGGCAAACAAGTACTAATCAACTCCCCCCTGCCCCCACTCCCCAAAGGCGACCAGCTGATTGGTCAAACAGGCTGTGATAATAGCTATTGAAGTGCAATGCAATTGGATGCCTGTGGTGCTTTGTTGTTTCACTAACATTGCAGGTCTAGGGTGGGTGGTCCGATCATTGGTTTGGAGGCTGGCAGTACAGTGTGGCATCTAGTGGGGATCTCTTTCTAGGGATCTGCCCCAAAGACATCATACTACAGCAACACTATGATAGGGTTACAGTCATTGTTGATTCCCTATTGTCTTGTTTTGCAGTCCTATATTGTTTTGCTGGGTTGGGATTTATTCTCTTTTGATTATGTTAAATCTGATGGCATGAACAGCTATTTTAAAGATAGCAAGACATATGGTAGCAATTTTGGATTTACTATTGGCTTGTTTTGAAGTACTTTATTGTGTGTTTTGTTGTTTCTATTGTATTCTGTTGTTTGATTTTTATTATGTTCAAAGGTATCTGCACCTATTTTGAAGACGAGGCATTATGGTAACTATTGTTGATTTCACAATGTTTTGAAGTTCTGTATCACTTACATTGGCTTTAATTGATTGTTTTTTAAATGATTCAATATTGGGGCTGGGGATTTAGCTCAGCGGCATAAGTGCCTGCCTTGCAAGCAGGCAGTCATGAGTTCGATCCCCGGTACCGATAAAAAGGAAAAAGACGAAAAGATTCAATATTGTTACTTATTACCCTATTCAAATTTTCTATGTTCTCATGGCTCAATGTTTGCTAGATTATATTTGCCTAGAACTTTGTGCATTACTTCTAGGTTTTCCAGTTTGTCAGCATATAGCTGTCTGTGACAGTATCTACAGATTCTCTATATCTGTGGCATTTGTTGTAATGTCTCCTTTTTCATCTCTGATTTTATTTGCTTGCATCTTCTTTTAGTCTTGGTTAATCTAGTGAAAGCTCTGTCTATCTTTTTTAAAAAACCACTTTCTTGATTCATTTGTTTCTATTGTAATCTGTTCTATTAACTTTGGACTCGGTTTGTTCTTTTGTAGTTTCTTCACCTGCACTATCACGGAAATTAAAGTCAATTTATCTGTGATTTAGGCATTGGATTGCTATAAACATCTCTTTTAGTATTGCTTTTGCTAAATCCCATAGCACAGATTTTGTTAAACTTTCATTTTTGTTTCAAGAAATTCTTAAATATGCCCTTTGATTTCTTCACTGACTCATTAGTCATTCAAGAAAATATTCATTTCCATGTATTCATACAACTTGTAAAGTCTTCTTGTAGATTTCTAGTTTTATTAGAGAAGACACAGGTTATGATTTTCACTAAAAAAAGGTGTTGATGGTTTATTGTGCAGTGTGACATGAACTCCATCTTGGAGAATATATTTTGTGCTTGTTGCATGAAATACATAAATTTCTGATAGGTCCATTAAGTGTATCATGTAATTTTACTCCAGTTTCTTTTTTTTTTTTTAATGTAGATATGTCTACTGGTGAAAGAGGATTATTGAAGTCTCACTATTTCTGTATTATAGTCCATCTCTTGTTTTAGATCTAATAATGGCTTTATACAATTGGGTACATCAGTGTTGGGTACATATATATTTACATTTTAAAATTTCTTCTTGTGGCTCGATCGCTTTATTACTAAAGAGTGACGTTCATCTTTTTTTAAGGTTTTTGACTTAGTCTCTTTTATTTGATAAATACAGCTACTCTTGCTCACTTAGATTTCCATTTCATGGTATCTTTTCTCATCCCTTCATTTTCAGCCTATGTATGTCTTTACTGGCGAAGTGATTTTCTTGTGTGCAGCACATCATTGGGTCTTATTTTTGTACCCAATCAGGAGTCCTTATCTTTTAACTGAGAGAGATAATGTGTTTACATTGTGTTATTATTGATAAGACATAGCCTTGTCTTTTTTTTAGTTTTCAATTTTCTGGTCTTGTATGCCTTTTGTTTCCTCCTTCTTAGCTCTGTGGTTTGGTAGTTTTCTGCACTGATAAGGTGCAGATTTTCTTCTATTTTTGTGCATCTGCTCTGTTAATGAGTTTTGTACTTTCATGTATTTTCATGACGGTAGTTAAGACTTTGACTTCTAGTATAAATTTCTCAAAATCATTCTCTTGAATTCTTTGTCAGGCAATTCATCCAGGAATGTGTACACCAGGCAACTTAATTTTTTTTTTTCTGTTTTTGCATTTTGGCAAATGACAGTGAAAATACCATAAAGACTGATTTAGGAATTCACATTAATTTTAGTAAGAAAGTAGACTCACATATAAGTAATCTGTGAATAATATAGAAAACACAAACAAATCTTGATGAGTGGGAGAAAAAAGATGAGAGATTACCTAGGGATGGAAATGAGGACTAGCACGGAGGAAATACAAAGGGGTAGAGGAAGATATCTGGGGGTGATAGATATGTTTATAATCTTAATGGTGATTACTACACTGGGGCATGCAACTGTAGGTTTTACATAAACAAAAAACCTCAAATTATAATTTTAAGTTTGTGCTATTTATTATATACCAGCAGTACTTCAATAAAGCTAATAAAACATCTATGTATGGTAGTTTGCCAAACTGGAGAAGAAGAAAAAGACATTTGTAAGGTTTAACTGCTACTTAAAAGGGAAAGAAGAATGAACCAAGGAATTAAATGTCCCTTGTGTTTCAAACTCGGTTGCTGGGTTGATGATGTTATTTATCAGTAACAGAACCAAGGAATACAGGAAGAGGATCAGGTTTCTGAGGGTAAAGAAAAATAAATTTAATCTGAGGTTGCAGGCCTGGTTCCAAACCCTCATCAAATCAGAGTTCTCCTCCCACTAGTTGTGCAAATACACAAATTCCTTAACTTCTCAACACCATCTTATTTTCCCAGAGATCTTATTTTTTCAATGGCATCACCATCTTTCCTCTTAACATGTTCACAATGGGGCCATAATGTGTATGTGTTGTTGCTGGGCTGCTCAAACTGTCTGATATATGACTATATGACATGTATCAGCAGTGGCAATAACTGCCCAATGGGACAGTCACGCATGTACCACTGGTGGTTCAAGCTGGCAGGTATGTGTTAATTTCTGTTTTAAGACTTGCCACTTCGGGGGCTGGGGATTTAGGTCAGCGGCATAAGCGCCTGCCTTGTAAGCAGGCAGTCGTGAGTTCGATCCCTGGTACCAATAAAAAGGAAAAAAGACTCGCCACTTCTTCCTATTACACAAGGTGCAAATTTCTTGGCTTTACTCAGGTCTTCAAAAATGTGGTCCCAAATGATTAGATTTCACCTTATTATTCTTTATCCTCTGCTCTCCATTTAAATCAGTGTACACCAAATTTGTTCTTATGAGGTACAATTGAAAAATACAGTGAGCATTTAAAAGATGTTTTACAGTAAAAGATGTGGTATTAATTTCCTCAAAATACTGCGCCTACCTCCAAAAACTTATCCCATTATTCTTGTCCTTTTTCATGTGTCTTCAGTTGCATTGCTGTGGCTTCCCTTAATGTCCTGAATTGATTCAAAATATTTATCTTTCATGGTCATTTTTACTTTAGATGGGGAAGAGTCAGAAGTCACAAGGTGCTAGATCCAGAGAATAAGATAGACAGGAATATACTGTAATGTTTTTCTGAATCTCCTTTTCCACTGGATGGCACCCGGCATCAGTATTTGCCATGTGTTTTATCACACCTCCTGAAGACACAACAGAGGACTGCCAGAGCCGCTTCAGAGTGGCCGGAAGTGTGTTCAAAGTGAGAGGGTGTATTCTGAAGGTGATCAGTGGCAATGGGTTTTAATGTGTTATTTCTAAAAAGTTTATACTCACTTTATTTTTCAATCACACATCCTATCCTATTCCTTCATCCTTCTAAAACTTAACAGTCCATTAAGGTATCCTTTCGAGCCAATGCCACCCTTTTTAGCAATGAATCACTCTCTAACTTTAAAATATGTGCTAATTTCTCACTTTCAATACCAACCTCATTTGCTAACTAAGGTTACTGCTCTATAGATTATGGGTTAAAGGAAGATGAATTTTGATGTCCGGCCTCAACTGTACAGGCCAAGGGCAATCTTGTACTATCAGCTTCATTAAGTAAAACAACACAATACTAACTGCAATTGCTCAGCTGAGACATTCTTTGCTCTGGGTGATCAGGGAAAACATTATGAAGTTGGCAGTTGAACTTGATCTTGCAAGTTAATAGAATATAGTCATGAGGATATTTGGATGGAGGATAGACCACATACATAAGATTATACTGAGTAGTGAGTCTGTAGTAGGCCAATTGGTGTTAAGTGCAGTTTGCTTTGTTTGCACTAGGATGAAATCACCTCAGGACACATCTCATAGAATGTATGCCTGTTGTTAAGCGATGCATGGCTGTATTTCTAGTACTAAAAAAAGGAGAAATCTTCACAGGTGGAAAGAACAGGAAAAAATCAAAGACAGAGAAGCAGAATATGGCAAAGATGTGTATTTCACACAGGCAGGGACTACATCACACCTATCTTAAATGTCTCATGGCTTGCGGTACAGTAACTGGCACAGAGCCTACGCTCAGCAAGGAAATCCTGTGTTGAATTAGTTATACTTGATTTTAAGTGGTTCCATCTAGATCCTAAGTGAATAATGGGTCACAAGTGAGGTAGAGAGCTATATCTTTTATAAGCCTGAATTAAGTGGTATAATTTTATACCACCAATGCCAAAATTGAAAGGGTAATTTAAAAATAACGTTAATGGCTTTCCCCAGCAGTATCGCTATATGTAAAGCACCTGGTGCAGTAGGATCTAGTTTCTGATTGCTCAGATATTACCTGTGAATTAAGTAGAATACCTTCTCTCATTCCAGTTTAGGAAAAGTACATTTGTAACCTTTTTAGTAAATTACAAAAGAGGTGTTCATTAGAACATCCTATATTTAGCAGCAGCCTTACCACATATTAGTTTTGTAATAATTGATGTAATTTTTACATTATTTGGGATTTTACTACAAAACAATGTATCATTCTGCTAAAATAGAAAAAAGCAGAGCTCAAAAGAAGTGCCATTTTTAATTCTCACCCAGAACTTCCAGGAAAGAACTCTAATTGATGCAGAAATTCCCACATAAGCTCCTAGTATGTCTGTCTTACTGTCTATGCGCCAACCAGCATGTGCTATTTTTAAGCTAATGATCACTGCTTCATGAGTGAAGTCACTAAGTCCAATTAGGTATGTGATATAGATTATGAAAAAGATCTCACTCGGTAATACATGATCCATTTAGAAAAGGAATAGGTCCCTAGCAAAACCACACCTCCTTACCACTGGAGCCGAAGTCCACAGGTCCGATCCACTTGAAGGCTGGCTTTCGACCTCGTTCTTCTGTTACATGCACTTTCTTTATCAAAGCCAAGCTGGTCAGAACATTGGCTATGTCATAGAGGCGTCGTACCTTTGCTTGAAGATATAAAACACAATTACGTTCATGCCATGTGTGACAGATACATTTCAGTTTACATGACAAATAACATTGCTATGCCACCACGTAAACCTCAAGAGGAAAGCAGCAGGGTGGGATGAGACCAATGGCTCTGTCAGGAAACCACCTAGATTTATATTTCTGATGCATCTGAAGACATATATTAAGGGAAGGTCAGTGTGTCCTTCCCTTTCACAACTTCACACCTCTTTCAAGAGGCATCTGTTAATAAGCAGGGAGCACCAGGACTGCAGAAACACCAAGGGAGGAAATGTCTAAAGGCTTAGGAAAACGTAATTCTGATATGTGGCATGTCAAAAGCTTGCCCTGAGTTTCTCCCAGCAGGTGGTCAGGGAACCTGCTTCAAAGGCAGCTGGCCTGTGAAGATGACAGGGATTCCCTAGGGCTTCCTGCAAGGCCATAAATCTGTGATGCCTCACATTCAAGGTCATGAGATACAACTGGGCTAAAGTCAGTTGCTTTTCACCTGAAACCTGTGTGTTCTGGCTACTCAAAAGGAGAAAGGCAAATGGGCATTCCCAGGGTCCTAAGAAGCACTGGGAGAGACCCTTGTAAAATGCATGTACTAGAGGAAAAATTCAGAAGGGGTGGCAACACATCAAATGCAGGATGATGACCATGAAGTCTTTTCTATTTAAGAAAATGATGCACAGGTAAAAAAAAAAAAAAAAAAAAAAAAAAAAAAAAAACCACTTAAGCCTTAGGATCAAATCAACCAAAGGAGTCTGAATTATTGTCCAGAAACATCAAGCTTTCACCTCTATCCCGACAGAGCTGATTTTATCTAGCTATTTCACCCACAAGGTGGTATCACTCCAGCCGGAAACAAACAAAAAGAGCTACAGAATGACGAGCTTCTGGCTTCTCCCCAGGAGCTCAGGGCACTGGCTCAGGATCTTGGAGCCATCAAAGAGGAACACACACCATGTTTGACACTCAGAAACTGTCCCTATCCATCAGCCCATGCCCCACCACCCCTGCCCTGACAGTTTGTTCCTCTGGTTCTTACCTGTGGATAACTTTCATCTCCACCCTTCAGAAGAGTAGGCAGGGGGTGGGGAGAAAAGGGGAAAGAAAACTCAGACATTCTGTCTTGGATGCGATGTCACTAAAGAGAAATGCAAAGCAATCCACACCTTCCCTGGCTGCCATTCTCCCATAGCATTCTGCTTCTTAGCCGCTACACTAACTACTGAGGAAAACCTTTCTGACAGGAATGTAAAATTCTATTATAATATTTTATAGCACAAAGGAAGAAATGGATCTCTCAACAATTATATATACATGCATTTTGAATCTCAGAGGCAGAACACATCAACTTATAAAAGCCCCTCCTCCCACCTTTTTTTAACTGATAAATGGATCTAGGCAAAGATTCTTACTTTTAAATTTACTATGGTCTGGGGTATCTTGGCTTTCTTCTATCAATATTTTAGCAGCTACATCCAAAGTAACAATCTTGGTTTTGGAGACGAGGAATAGCATGACAAACTTCTGGCTCATAATTCTCAGAGACTTATCTTTTCTACTGTTTGCAGATGCTACAAAGGGAAGAAATAGAAGCATCAAAAACATGGGATATACAAGAAAGACTGCTTATGGCTTACCAGAACTATCTAGCTACAGAATATATGGACAACTACCCTTGCTATAGGCAGACATTTGTTGGACACACATCACAAAAATCAGCTTCTAAAGAAATCAAGATTTTCTTGTGGTTCATAAAATTACTCTGCAGTAAGCATAAACTCTTACATGCATATTTTAAACCACTCTCAACACTATACTTATATGCCATGTAATAGAATCCATGTGGTAGTTTTCCTGAAGCAACTTTTTGAAAAGATTAATATAGACAGACAAAAGGAGACAGCAGGGATCAGAAACTGTTTTTAGATTATCAACTTTCTTCTCAAAGACAAGAACTACATTTTTAATCTCTGGGCTCACAATTTGCAGAATATAGTAGGTGCCCACCTCTTCCAATTCTTTTCAGAAACAGGTCAATAAACAAGCTTTCCGTAAACAGGAATCTTATTAGATATGCGCTCCTATGGATGGCAGGTAAACCATTCCTGACAGATGGCTGCCTTCCCTGGCTATTAGGATAAGTATGGCTGCGTGGAGTGGAACTACAAGGCATGAGGTGGTGAGTCTAATGAATACCAGCCCCATCTTCCTCCCAAGTCTAATATTTGCAATTAAAATGTGACTGGCACATGTACTTTGTCATCTTAGCAACAGGGAGGGTGACAGTGATGAAGATCAATGGCTAAAATGAGAAGAGAAAATATATCAGTCAGGGGGAGGAAAGAAAAATGCAGATATAAATCAAAAACTTTCTGCACCAAATGACAGCAGGAGTTGCCTATCTTTATCAATTCCTATTAATGGGGCTCTTTTCTAAGTGATCTACCCCAACATATAATTAAAAAAAAATTATTTGAGAAGATAACTTCTTCAAAGTTTCACGACAAGAAAGCTGCCTGGGGATGTCAATCTTCCATGAGCACACTATTATGGATCTACAGTCCAGGGACGCTGAACACCAAGTGAGCCGCCATGGATGGATTTTAAGTAAGGTCCAGCAGGCAGCCCAGTTGGACAGCCATCTGCTTCCCTTTCTTCAGTAGACAGAATAAGAGGACATTTTCCTCTAGGGTTGACAGGCTCACATTTCTCTTCTTAGTAGCGAATCTCTTCAGGAAAAACCACTTTCTCTGCCCTTATTCATGAGGTTACAATGGACTCACAGGAGGAATAGTCGGGTTCAGAGAAATCCAGTAACTGGTGATCTTGGGAGTTTGGATAGCCATTTTTTCTATGCTCTCCAAACTTGTAATCCATCAGGTCTAACTCTTTCTGTTGTAGGTGGGCCATCTGCTCTTCGTATTTTTGCTCTTCTCCTAGTCTCCTAAGGGCTCTTAGGGTTTTCGGGAGGCTGTGCCGTCCATGCCAGCCATACTGATTCTTGGCCACCCGGCTAACCAGATGCAGGGACTCCAGCACATTTACAATGTCATAGATGCGTCTTCTTTCCACACCTGTTTGAAAAACAGAAGCCAAGAGATATCATGCAGGTGAACCTTTTGAGTATAAATTCCTTGAGGCCTGGACAGTGTCTGTGAACTGCTTTGTGTGATGCCCACTGTAAGGTCCATCAAGTATGGATGCTCCATAAATTCAACCTGTAAGGATGCAAACAACAGAAATTATTTTCCTTTTCTTTTCTTGAGATCCAGTGCTGAAACAGAGCTGGGCCAAACACCCACGTGGAGATGGTGATAATTCTATCTGTATGACCTAATAATGGAGGACCCACTCTTTAGACTTGTTAACACACCACATATTTTGGCATGCTAAAATGTGCAGTTCAATGCCATTTATATAACACTATGCCCACTGCTCACTCAATGAATGCATGGTTGATTTTGACCTGTACTCCTCGTTGTGCAACTATAAAACACTTCATCTGTAAACGGGGTCCTTTCTCTGAGTCTGAACCATGTGAAGAAATAATTACCTCTGTAACTTTCAATGGCCCAGTAAGGAAAAAATGATAGTAAAGTGTTTCCTACTTTGAAATGGAAACTCAGGATTCTAGTACTTAGCCACTAATCTCAAGTTGCTGGAAAAGGCTATAGCCAGGGCTGGAAGGTGAGTCTGCTTTTGCTCTCCACTGCTACTGACCACTCAGGTTCTCTCTCATATCCTGCCAGTCACAGTGAAGCAGAGACTAGCATATGCTGCGCATGAAATTCATCAGTTTCCTATCTACTTTCCCAACATTCCCCAAGGATCTAGGATTTTGAGTCATTCATCGAATTACCAAAAATATTTACAGTGGTTAACTGTTGAGGGATCTGGGGTCAGACTGCCTGGATATGAATCCTACATCTCTCTCTTACTAGTTGGGCGATCTTGGGGAGTTACTTAGCCTTTGTGTGTCTTAGTATTTATCTCACATAATGATGAATATTAAATGTGTCCATAAATGGAAAGGGTCCCCAATAGCGTTCATTTTATATGATACTGGAGATACCTAAAATTGCTGCTAAAGTAAGAATATTGCAGTAGAAACAGATTTTGAAAAATCTCATGTCTGTGACTCACTCTGTTGTGCAACAGGGCTCCAGGCCCTCTGTTCCCTTTTGCTCTCATCTAAGTTTCCATAATAAAAGCCTCCAGGGACCTTGCAGAAAACCAGCCCAGCTACAAAGATGCCCTCTTTTAGTTCACTTGCCAGGGGCTGTTATAATCAGGGCAGACTCTGAATGTAGCTGCGGGCCTGTCAGAGATTTAATGTGAGAAAGACACCAAATTGCAAGGAACACTCCAGAATTGAGAAGAAGTTCTATCATATGCAAGAAAAGACACTTCACAGTCTATCAGAACATTTCAGCTCATGACCCTGAAAGGCTTGTCACCCCCAAAAGCTCAGGCTTCACTGCCAGCTGCCTGTTGGAAGGTGCTGGCAGGAACAGACAGCAGCCCTTTGTCCAGAACTGCCTGGCTCTTTATTCCAGTCTGTTTCCACATATTAACACATTTTGTTTAGAGTGTAACATTCTGCAGACCTTCCCATTAGAAATATCATGTGAATGCCACTGAGACACCCCAGGGCCAGCCATATGCCCTCCTGTTTTGCTGTTTGATTAGACAACAAGCTGCTTAGTCTCCACCTAGTGGCTAAACAGTCCAAGAAGGGAAATAAAAGATTCTGAGAGAATCTTGGAGAGTACTGTGACATTTAATATGCACGGTGGGTACTTAGCAGGTGGATTTACAGAAACCTAATATGGCATCAGTTTACATGCTTATCATTCACTATTTGAATCTTGCTTGAGATGACTGCTCAGAGGGTGGTACACTTGCATTCCATTTCTCACAGGTGTCAACACCTGTAAGTTGATCTGAGGGCAGGCAGTCTTTTTTTCTTCTGTACTGAGGTTGTTCCATTAATCCTAGTCATGCCATCAGCTACAGCCAAGGATTTACCAATTGTTGCTATGCTTTCTTAGGTTAATTCCCTATTGAGAATAACTCTCAGCATAGTAAAATAGCTTTATTTTACTCTATACTTTTTGATTACCAAAGTCACTCCCTGGTCTTAAATTCCTGCTCCCAATCTCAGTGTCAAATCTAATAGTACCAGAATCTTGGAACCAATGCGATTTGAGTGTTCTGCACATCTTTAGTTCAAGTAAGGTCTTGTAACTTGTGACCCAGGATGTAGCAGAGAGTTCAGACTCCAGGAAATAATCAACAATAAAACAGCTTTTAGGAAAGGACTCCCATTTTTCGACCTCACATGAAAAGAGATGTCATGCTTACTTGGCAAATCTGGGTGATCACGAGGCTTGGGAAGCTGCTGTAAAAATCTCTAGTTCCGCTCCTTGCTGTTATAACACGGAGCACTATGGAATGATCTGCAGCTCATATGACCACAGGGAGTCCTCCCAAGACCTGTGACATGTCCCTCTAACATCTAATCTTTGGTGTTCTGCAGTGACATCAGTATAAAACCTCTGGACAGATATTAGGTGTTTGCAGGAAACAGGCTTCATGAACCTCAGTGAAAAGGACACTAAACGACCATTTTCTGTAAGACTGGTTTGCAGAATCCTGTGCCTTAACTATGTCTTTACCATGCCTCTATCCCAACGCATGGTCTTTTTATCACAACTTCCTTAATATCATGGTTTCCAGCCACCATAATCTGCTTGGCTATCAGCTTGAATTATTCAGATTATCACACTGACATAGTAAATAAATGTCTTTTCTCTGGGCTATGGAAGAAACAAACAAAAAATATAACTTATTTAGCTGATTTCTTCAAAACTTTTTTCCTAAGTATATAAAATCTTATTTTTTAAGGGATTCCTTCAGACTTCTAAACCACTGTGATTTCTGTTTAATGATTGTGAATGCGTTCATTCAGAAACCAACTGCAATCCATGTCCACCAGGGGTCTCTATCCTGAAGCAGCTGTACACACATTTGCAGACTACATCCATCACATTATGCATGATCATGTCACATGAACACACAGATTCTTCTTTGTTATGGGGTTTAGCTGGTTGAGTTATGTCCAGATGTGCTTCTTCTAGTTTGACAGGCTTGCTGTGAGGATCATGATAAAGAGTTTTGAATGTAAAGCTGGTGCACTCAGATCTTGCTGTGTAAAGTAAGTAATACCAGCTCTGAACTTCTGGAAGCATTATTGAACAGGAAAAAAACAGGGTATTTCTAAAAGCTTTTTGCGTCTCTTTGACAATAAATTTAAATATGACATTAATTTATAAGGTAAGTATCAAGAACTACTACTGTTTACAAAAATGTTTTTCAAGGTTAGAAAAAATACAAAACTACCCTGAATTTTTGTTTGGTCCTCCTCCTGTCCTAGAATTTTATGCAGAGATAGCCGATGACGAAGGAAGCTCTGCCTACTTCTTTGTCCTTATCCTTGTGAAAGGACGACTCTTTAGTTTATAAAAGAGGCCACCTGAAGTCTTTGGCCTGCCCAAGGAAACCAGTTTCCCACTGTAACCCGAGACAGGCCTCCAGGTAATCTCGTGATACATACCAAGACTGACAGCAACTTCATCTAGGGAGATGGTAGTTTTCTCAGTTGACAAGGGGTAACTTGGATAACGAGCTAGAAACTTCTGGCAGAGCAGTCCTAAACTTTTCTGTTTTCTGCTTGGCCTCTGCTTTTCATATTCGTCCACAGCACTGTCCCCAACAACATCAAGCTACAGAGAGCAGACAGAAGGGGGTGGGGGGAAATGTCATGGTTAACATCCCAATGGAGAAACTGTAATGATCGGTATTGGCAAGTTTACAGGGTGTGTGTGAGGGGTGTGGTACATACCAACCCACCCCATCCCAGATTCTGCTTAAAATACATGCTTAAATCTCATTTTCTGAATGTTTTACCTATTGCTTTTCCCTGAACTGAAGCTTTCCCTCCTTTGCTGAGTCTCTAGTTCCAAGTTTTAAAAAAAAACAATACAGTCATATATAGGTTGCCATTTCTTTGCCACTAGGGTGCTTTCTGCACTAGTAGTCTGAGAATCACCAGGAACTTTTCAGAGATATAGAATCCGAGGCCTCATCCCAGCCCTGCTGCATCAGAAGCTGCCTTTCCATAAACTGGTGATTCTGACTGACACGAAGTTTGACATGCACTGACCTGTGCTGTGTCACCTCACTACTGTATTTCACAGCTTACCTAACACTGATCAAACTGTGAGGTTTATTAAGCTGCAGCCTTTCTTACTCTTTCTTATTGTAAATACACTAAACTAGCCTCCTTTTCTCACCAACTTGCACTTGAAAATGATTTCATTAAAACCCCAAGAAATACAAAAAACCTTTTGACAAATATTCAAGGAGAAAAATGATACGATTATCTCAATAGATGCACAAAAAGCATTTGATAATTTGAATATTTATTCATGATTTTCACAAATGTTCTTAGAAAGGTAAGAAAAGGGGAGAAATTCAGTGAGAGCATTCACAAAAGTCAGAAACAAACATGTATTAGTGGGAAAACTTGGAAGCACTTTCTTAAAATTTGGAAAATGACAGGGATGTTCTTATCACTGCTCCAGTGGACCACCCTGGAGATCCCAGTAAGGGCATAAGGACAAGAAAAAGGAATGATATACAGAGGTTGGAAAGGAATAAGCAAAACTTTCATTCTGCAGAAGAGGAATGTTCACTAAAAAAAACCCTCAGGTTTACTAAAAATAAGGATTTAGCAAACACAAGACATGTCTTAAAATCAGCTGTGTTCCTATGCAGTAGCATCACAAAATGAACTGAAAAGGGATAATTTTAATACTAACAGGAACGATAAGGTGTTTAAGAATTGGGCTGGCATAGTGGCACGCATGTGTAATCCAGCACTGAAGAGGCTGAGGCAGGAAGATCACTGTGAGTTCGAGGCCAGCCTGAGCTACAAAGTGACTTCAAGGCCAGCCTGAACTGCATAGTGAGACCCTGTCTCAAAAAGACAGGAAAAAACAAAACAAAACAAAAAACTAGCAAAATCTATTTGCATGCAATACTAAAACTTAGGTTTTATAGAATATAGTACTTAAAATTTGGAGAAATATACTATCTTTAAGGAAAAGCGGACTCAGTACCATAATTTAGGGTTAACTCTTTCCAAGACATTTTCAGTTCCAATTAAAACCTAGTTAATATATATATGAGAGGAAAAAGGCTAGAAATAGTCATGCTACAAGCATGAAGAAAAATAAGTTGAGGGTCTTGCTTTACCTGTTATTAAGGTTTATTAAAAAGTGGTGTTGGCACGGAAATGGACAAACTGGCTGAGCAGAAAGGAGTCTAGAAATCAACATACAAGAAACAGTACTGTCATTTGGGGGGAGAGGAAGAATTCCTAATTATATGGTGCAGGGACAAGTGATTATACATATAGAAACACAAAGTAATAGTCTGACTCAACATCACATGTAAAAAAGCACTTCCAAACAGATTACGGTCTTAAGAACAGAAAGCAAATTTCAAAAGGAAATATAGAAGAATATTTTTCAAACCTTGGGATAGTGAAAGATTTCTTTATGCATACAAAATACTCCCCTTAAAAGAAAAGATGTATATACTAGACTATGTTAAACTTAAGAACTTATTTTTGTTCATCAAGTAAGAATAGAAAAGACAATTACCAAACTGAAAGAGTACATATAGTTGATAATCATTTAGTCAAGAATATATAACTTTTACAAATCCATGTAATAAAAATGAATTAATAAAATTCAGCAAAGGACACAAATAAAACTTGCACAGGAGAGGAAAAAACATGGTAGTCCACAATCATGAAGAAAGAAACTTAACCTCTTGAGTAATCAAGAAAAAGCAAATGAATAGCACAGTAAGATAAAATCTGTACACCCACAACACTGGAAGAAATGAATAAACCTGACAATTTCAAGAGTCAGAGAGGATATGAGTCAATAAACACTTTTCTATTACCAGTGGAAGCAAATTATATTTTATTAAGTAATTTGGCATTATCTTGTGAACAACTGCATTTCAATGACCAAGCAATTCCACTAGTAGCTATTTGCCCCCAAAATAGCAGTTCTCAAACTTTCTGCTCAGAGGGTCCATGCCTTTGTAATACTAAAAATTGCGGAGAAACCACAAAGGGTTTTTTTAAATGTAGATTTTATCTGCTGGTATTTACTAAATGAGAACTTAAAAAAGAATTGTTTTCTTTTGTATTCAATCTACTGCAGAATCCACATCTTTTACTTATTAGCTGACTTCAGTATAGAAGGCGCAAGAGAGAATGAGAGTTCAAATGTCTTAGCATTTTTATGAAAATAGTTTTGACTTCCTTGACCTTCAGACAGATTCTTTGGAGATACTGAGGGGACACTGAGGTTATCAGACACTTTGGAAACAATGCCCTAGGCAAAAGTTAGTATTTACATAAGGAATCACAAACAATCCTATCATAGCAACATAGTTTGTATTAGTCCCAAACTGTAAACAACCCCAGGAGTTACAAATACCAGAGCAGGTAACTGTATCTCAGTGTACTCTTGCAGTGGAATGTTACATAGCAAAGAAAATTACAGAAGTACTGTTGAAACATGTCTAAACCATAAGGATGCTTGTTTACTGAAGAAATTAAGAACCAGAAGGCAATATACTATGTGTAATTTTAATTTTACAAAGCCTAAAACCCAAACAAAATAACCTAAGCAATATACTAGATAGGAACACACACTGCATATGACAGTGGCTTAGAAAAGGCAAGGAAATGATAAATACAAATTCAAGAAAGTGGTTATTTAATGTAAATTAATAGTTCTGTTCTGCGTTCTAGACTGGGAGGCAGACTCACGGGTGTCTTGCTACTGCATACATAAATGATTAAACAGTCTATGAGAAAGTAATGGAAAGCCTATTTAAGGTCATTCAAGTTTTAGGTACCTCTTGACTATTGTGAACATGTCTAGTGACTGATGAATTTTAAATCTCTTAAAGAAAGAGTAGAAAACCACAAATTTATTTATTTTTACCTCTACTAAAGTAAAATATCAATAATGTTACCTCAATAAAGAGGTTAGTAATACTGTAATTTCTGCTGGGTGAGTTTTACTTTGCCCTATTTTGTCAGGAAAATTAAGGCAACCAAAAATTTTTTTAAAAAAAACTGTAATACTTCTACATATTTGACAGTAAAAAGCAGACAATTCTATTTAGTCTACAAACCCAATAAAAACATAAGCATCATTTTAGAGAACAGGAGAATAAAACAGACCCTAAGCGATTTCTTGTAGTCACTCAGCTAATGATATAAATGCAAGCTCTGAAAGACAAGCTTCCTGCACTTTTTACAACAAATATAAAATAGAAAGTAAGTTGAACAGCCAAGACCTAAAAGAGGAATTATGAAAATTTTCTGGCTTTAAGCACATAGGAATTACTCTCCAAACTATGATTTGCATCTAGTTACATGCAAGAATCTGCTAGTTCTACCAATGTAACGGTATGTATAGTAGACTTAATTCAGTTTGTTCTATTAAATTCAAATTGTAATTTGGGACATCTTTTTCTCTTTTCCCCTTCCAATTTCTTCATTTTGGCACATGTTATAGCTTAAAAATGCATGAAAAGCAGGAAAAATAGTCAAAAACACTCAAACCTATAAGTCACTTTTTAAAAACCAAGTCTGGGTAAAAGTTTGATGGAACACTGAAATGATTGACCACTGAATTTAGATACATTGTGTATTCAACAGTTCTAGTTATTTGTATTCAGCAAGTAATTTAAAGATGACTTTTTAAAAGCCCCAAGTTAGCAATGCACATATATGGAAAAATGCATTTTTCCAAATTGAAGTTATTTAGATTAGTATTACCCTTAAAATCCAAACACAATTAAGATTCACAAAAGTTTTTAAATAATCTGACTTCACTAAAATCCTTAAATCAATACTTTAAAAAAGTTGTCTTCTTTTTTTCCTTTTGGTATCAGGAATCAAATTCATAACCTCACAATTGCCAGTGCTGGTGCTGTGCAAAACCCTGCAAAATTACCATTTTAAAATGTGGTTTGGTCAACATATCATACAGAAGAGAGGAAAACATTCATTATGAAAATAAGAGCGATCGAAAATCAATCTGCACACAAAAAAACCACTAACATTTAATACTGCTTTAGGCTCAACAGGAATGGAAAAATGAGAATTCTATGAACTTTTTAACAAGTAAAAATTTTCTGAATTCTCTAAAAGCCCTCGGAGCACCTCCTGTTTACCTGCAGAGAGTCTGTAAATGCGTCATCCTTGTTTTCAATGGGTCTGAAGAGCCCCTTTTTCTTCTCTCGGTCTCTTATGTCTGGGCTGGCGGCACTGATAAGCATCTTCAGGTTGGCTGTGGGGGTCCACGGTTCTGTCTGCTGTCTGTCAACAAGCTTCACCGGAGTAATGGGATTTCTTTCAGGAGTGAAGATTTTTTGCTTTGATAAATCAATTGGTTCATTTTTTATTGGAGTCTTTGGGGCCATCCTTAATCGATCAACAAATATATTTTCCTATTTTTTTAAAAAAAGAAACTTTTAGAAAAGGAAAAAGCAGGTGTTAGGGTACGAGTATATAGTTCCTACCATTCACTAAGGCTTGGGAATACAAACAGAACCATGTGTGTTCAGGGTGAACAGAATCAGGATTGGGTTAATGAAAGGGGACAGAAGACTTCATGGGAATTGAACAGTGGCATCAGGGAGACCTGTACTCCTTTAAACACACTTTTTCATGGCATCTCTGTAAGAAATGTCACGGATGTATCTGTCATTGATAGATGCTTACAACAGGTGAGAGTGATGAAGGCCAACGTAAGTTGAATCCATATTGTTTCTAAGGACTACATAAGTATCTTTAAACCTTACTTAGAAGTTTGCACTAGCTAGTGAAGAGCAGTGATGCTTTTGCTCAGGTCACCAGTGGCAGAACAGCAATTAGTATAATACAACCAGCAAAAGAAAAAGCATCCAACAAAATATATTTTAAGCAAAGCTAGGGGGCCGTGCAGCAGTGTCATTCTTCTAGAACAGTGTTTCTTTACTATCCATGGAGTTTAAATTTCCAAACTCCCACATACTCATAGCTGATCTCACTTCAGATGACAAACATGCAACTCTCATCATATGGGATTTGCCGTTTTGCTTTGTCACTCAGACAAACCCACAGCCTGTTGAACTAGAAAAAAATCCTGATTGTAAGCTCAGATGGCCCAAGTTAATTATCAAAATGCCACTAAGGTTTTTAAATGCTCAACTCATGAGTCTAGAATTTAAATTTTTTTGGTAACCTGGTTAATAGTTTATAGATAATTATAAGCAAAGATTAAAGATGGGTCCATTATGACAAAGGAACCCACATTTAGAATTACCGAGCAATTAAAATTTTTCTTCCTAAAATGTTGCTGCCATTGAAATCAGAAAGATTCTGCTCTTCCTATGAATTCACTTCCCGCTAACACTGATTGACACAATGATGAAGGTAGATGGTTAAGTATCTGTCACTCCTTTCCCACCCATGTATCACACTGTAGGACGGCAGGCTTGGATTGTGGCTGATCAGCCACTTAGCTGTAGTGACAGTCTGCCCTAGCATACTAGGCAGGAAGGGTGTGGAGAAAGGAGATGATTTTTCACATCATCAAAGCTTACTAAGCGTTCGGCCTACAGGTCTGCACCCACTCAGCTCTCAAGTCCCTGCCAGTGTGGCCTTCTGATGGAGAGTCCCACAGTAAACTCTCAAGGGAAATTACAGGGTGCCACGTCCTGTTTCATACTTTATATATGCATTAATTCTTCATCTAATCCTGTGGTGTAGGTACTGTTATTTTTCCAGTTTACAGATGAAGAAACTGAGGCGGAGAAAGGTTAAATAACTCATATTAGTTCATATGCAACACAGCTAACACAGATGCTTCTAAATCACTGCATCTAGAAGTGAGCTTGTCCTGGGTGAAACTGGGAAGAAGTTTCCAACAACCCAGCAGGCCATGACCCCCACTAGCATCTTGGGAAAAGCAGTATGGGGATGCTTGCAGGACCTGAGCAGCGTATCAGGGTCTGCTGCTTAGCGAAGTTAACATGGGCAAGTCCTTCACCTCACTATATTTCTATTCTCAGTTGAACATTCAGTTCATAAAAACACTAACCTCAAGGGTCATGACAATAGCTCCTGGTACACACTGAGCACTCAGTAAAACTTACCATTATCTTTTTCACTTGTTGTCCTTCTTTATTGCCATTTATTTAAGAGCTCATATAATACAGCACTTAGAGTTAATATAACACAGCACATCGTATTGCTATTTAACTTCCTGGGTGTGTGTCCTATCTCTATACCGAGACAGTGTGCAGTGGAGGTCAGTTCTACATCTTGTTCCTCACAGACCTTGGTACAATGCCTTGCCCATTACAATTGCTCAAACACCGTGCTTTGATTACCGAGTTACTCCCAAAAGTGTCCAAATAGCAGAGGGTGTAGCCTTGGATGGCTGAGCGGACAGATATTTATTCTCCTTCTCTGCTATCTGCATAGTACCTGTGCTTGTGGGAGCTATGAGTCCCTATCTTCTCTCAAACTAGATGGCAATTCAGAATGGATTATTTCTTTATAAACTTTGGTGTATTTGCATTATAGTTTAAGTAACAGAGCAGGAGGGGAGTTAGGTTTCCATGGCAAGTCAGGACAGTGTCACAACTTTATGAAAATTTAAAAATTGCACTGTGAGTGTCAAGGATTTAGCTCTGCGGCGTAAGCACTTGCCTGGCAAGTGTGAGGTCATGAGTTCGATCCCCGGTACAAACAAACAAACAAAAAAAAAACCCCAAAAAACTGCATTGTGGGGGGCTCAGGTAGATAACGAAGTCAAGGCAACCTAGTCAGACCCCGCCCTGCATATCTGTCCATTCTGTTATCCTGCACTGTAGAGGGCAGAGGAAAGGTGATTAACATGGGAATTAAGAAATAATCCGCTTTATTTCAACTGTGTATTGCTAGTTCTGTCTGGGTACTAGTTTCTGTAGGTGAAAACAAGAATCCAGGCCCAAGTACCTGTCTTCAAGGCTTTCTAGCAAGGCTTTCTAACTGTGTAGCAGACACTGGGATGCACCAGGATCTTTTTGGGAATGAATGACTCATCCCTCAGCTGCTGGAAGCCACAGGAACAGTCAGCCCCTCAGCCATCTGCCTAGACTGAAGGGGGCAGGCAAGCCCAGACTCATACCCTTTCATCACAGGAGGCCTGCAGAAACAGCACTGACACATAAAAGCCTGGTTTTCTCACCCCACCCGAGGATCGCACCTACGGGTCACCCTGGAACTCTCCAAAACTCAGACTGCTTCTCCAATTATACGCAGCTCCACTTTTTCTTTTCTCAAATTGCACTTCTGTCTCTCCCCTCTCCTCCCCCAGGCCTTGAATTCGAGAGCACTGTCTCATAATTCTACACACTAAATTCCAAGTGAGATCTACTTGTCAGAAAATGTATCCTACAACGTCTTAAAAATCACTTGCTCAGTGAGAGCCTGGAGAACGGAACCCATGAACTGGTCCTGCAGTTCTCAGTTCTTCACAGGAAGTAATGCACCTCGGCTTACGTGTCTTACAGTTGCTTATACTGAGGATTAGCTCAAATAATGCAAGTGAAGCACTGTCATCTGCCAGGTGCTATGCAATGATCATTACTAATATAGCATCAGCACTATGACTACAGGTAAATGCAGTCATACAAAGAGCTGAGTAGCCAAAAGATCATGGTCCCAGTCCGGGTTCCATCTTCACGCAGCTTTGAATATGTAACCTCAAATAATACCTGCAGTCATCGGCACTGTCAAGTCCCTTGATGGTACCTGAGCAACTCTTGCAGCTTCCCCTAGGCACACCCCACCCTTTGCCCCAAAGGCCACCTGTTTTCCTGTGCTCTTAAATCACTCAGGCTGAGGCTCAGGCCATCACTTTCTCTTCAGTCCCACTGGCAGATCTCTGTGTACTGCAATCCTACCTACTGTTGAGGATTCACTGTACATACTACTGTTAGGAAGCATCTCCTGTGTCCTGATCCAACTCTTCTTCCTGCCAAGGTATACTTTCCAGGAGTAATCTCGCTGAGGGCTCTTCCCACCATCCTCCCGGGGGTTTCTCTACAAAGTCTGTTCTGATGCACAGCTAACCTTAAGGTTGCCAACTCAGATCAGTGGTGAAATATCTTACTTGACCTCCCTGCAGCAGTGAGGGTGCCCTCGATTCTGAAATACTGCTCTCTCTCGGCTCTCTTCGTTTTTCTGACTGTGCCTTCTCAATCTCCTTCACTGGTTCCTCTTCTTAACAAAATGCAGAAGTCCACACTAAGCCCTGTGGTCCTCTATTCACTTCCTGTGGGATGGTTCACCTAATCTCACATATGTGAGTTTAAAGTCAACCTGTGCTGCTGACTCCTACGTTTTACTCCAAGTCTAGGACATTTCATAAATTTCAAAAATCGGGCATTAGCTGTCTCCTGCTTGTAAATCACACAGTACAAACATATTCCAAATTTAACTCACCTTCTTTCTCAACCACTCCCAAAAAATATGAATGACTTTAAAAGAATACCCAGGTCCAGTAAGTCTGGGCGTTGTCCTCAACTGCACCATGCCCACGTCTACTTCACTAGCTACCTTTGTCTCTACCTGTACAGGTAGGTCTTAGCATTCATTCCCACCAGCTGGGCTCAAGTGAGCCCTCCCAAAAGCTCAGCTGTTGGCAACTTGTTGTCTGAACTATTTACATCCTACTTTTATCACCCCCAAATGCACTGGAGAATCTTAGCTCCTCAATATATAGGAGAGCTGTATTTATAAATTCACACATCACCTAATAGCAGTAAATCTGGGTAAAATTGTTAGTAACTTGTTTTCAAGAAGTTCCTCCATGAAGAGACAGAAGATGCAAGTATAATAAACAGTAATTTGGATCCTGACCAATGTGCGGATGTCAAGAAAGAAACTTTCTAAATAACTAATCAAGCAGACACAACTACCCTGTCTCCCCCAGAGGCATTTCTGGAAGAAAACAGTGCCACTGGGAACTTCTTGCACATTTCTCAAATGCCCACACCTCATGTTGTTTCTTCTGCTTGAAATGTCCATCTCACTCACTCTTTTCTTGTAGGCTGCTGAACTCCCTCATCCAGGATGGTGTAACTCAGCTGTTTCTTCCTCTTTCTGAAGCCTTCTAAATTCCCTGAGTTTACTTCTTTCTCCTCTATTATGCCCGGGTGTTTGTTCCCCGTGCTATTAGGACACTAACTCATAGTATCATTGGCTAGTTTTATATCTTGGTCCTTCAAAGTCTTTCAGGTAACTAGTGGCAAGGCCTATCGCATATTCATCTTTGGGCTGTCAATTTAATTTAGTGAATGTGAAGAGCATCTACTGCTGGGTGCTTTACAAAAACCCAATGAGAGTGGTGCTGTGTGTTAGCTCCAATTCACAGAAGGAAAAAAAGGGCTTAAAATGGTTAGGAGACTCATTAAATCACTGCATCCCCGCCTTGGAAACAAACATTTGTTGAAAGACTTTGCAAATGTATTTGAGGTCATACTAAGAAATCAAATCTAGGACTCTGCTTCAAACCCATGTTCTTACCATCCCTACAAAGCCTCCTTCCTAAACTTTCTAGCAAGATGGAAAGGAAAGGCCCCTTCCGGGAAATTGGTAGCTCTCTGCTCTCGTCTCTTGACTTCTCTGGGAAGTGACATGATCCTGCTCATGCACTCCATTTCAAATTTTCTTTCTTTTTTGGGGAAGGCAGATATCAAGGAACGAACTCTTCACCTCACCAGGGATCACCTCAGGGATCGAACTTACCAGGCAGGTATTTGTGCTGCTGAGCTAAACCCCAGCCCTATTTAAAAATTTTAACCACTTTCCCAATCCTGTTTATTTACTTCTGCATACCCATTAAAATATGAAAGCTCAACTGGACACAGACCTAGCTAAGGCTAACTAAGGGATCCTTGCTTAAAGTCCGTGACCCAGAAAGATGGAAGCAGAACAGCAACTTACAACACTGATTTAGACTTGTATAAACGTAAATCTTTCAAAGCTGAACCATTCAAATTATAAAGAAAACCAAAAAATTTTGCTCTGATATTCACCAAGCCAAAACTCTGATTATATACTTAAAGGGCATGACATTTCTACCTTTACATGCCTTAGTCAATTTAAAGTTATCTTTAAAACAATAATGTGGTGGTATACTTCTTATCCTAACAACAGGTGCTTTGCCACTAGGCAGGTTGACTGTTGCTAAGCCTAAAAATAAGACCACGAATAAAGCGAAGGCCAATGCCCAAGGAAGTTATTTCTCTCAGATTTACACTTGAAGTTTCTAAAACTAGATTTCTTATATTTATTTGCCTTTGTCTAAAAATGCTTAGCTTGCACCTGCCTGGCAAGCATAAGGTCGTGAGTTCGATTACCAGTATCAAAAAAAAAAAGCTCTTTACTTTGAACAAATTGTGTCTTTTTGGTGGGTCATCTGCTGGTTTGTACAACTGTGCTGATATTGGCAAGCTGACAGTTTAGATATTAATATTTTTGAAGACACAGCCTTACAACTCAAGGAGTACAAAAAGAGAAAGGATGGCTCAGTATAAAAATAGCAGAAGCACTGCAAAATATTCAGAGTATGTTGGTGGGCCAGTCACCTTGTCTTCTATAGGGTCAGCACAGGCTACATTCTTGGGCAAATGGGAAAAAGACTTACAGCCAGTTGCTTGGTAAGGAGACATTTCTCAGCATTTCAGTAATGGAGAATTTAAAACTACACACGTCTTTCGAGGCCAACACTCCTATAAACCACCTTTGACAACTCTAAGCATTATAAATTGACTGCTGGATCCACCATACCTGATTTAAGTAAGCTGGTTCCAATGCTACATCTACTTAAGGTAGTGAAATGGAAACAATAATGGTTTGGATGGCTCTATCTGTTAAAAAGTATATTTCTATTATGTCCACCAGAATTATTAAAAATCTCACTACACAAGTGGAGTCCACATCTCCACCTTTGGTATGTGGGAGATCAAGGTACTTAAGCATGCTTACCTTTTGTGCATTTTCCCCATCTTCAATTCCCAACTCTAGTCTGGCCTGCTTGGGGCTGATCAGGTCTTTTAGTGTTAAACAATTTATCTCCATCTGTAATGCACGATTACATTAAGTTACATTAAAAATGATTTTATACTCAGATATTTTCCTCCCACAGAAGCATGTATTAGTTGTTCGTGAACATGACCTTCTCCTCCCCTAAACACATCCTGGGAGTTTCCAAAAGTGTGGACAACTCCCAGTCCTACACCAGAACAAACACAATTACTGAAAATCTGAGAGCAAAAAAACCGACAAAAATATTAATTCTTCATGAAAAGCAACAGGGCAAAATAAAGTTGCCAAACTAGGAGGCTGTTGGAAATTACTGTACAGGGTACTGAAATCTGTCAGAAAGTACTGTGCAGGGTCTCTCCAGGTCAGTTAATTTTGGCGCAAAGAACTAGGAGGAATTCAGCGTTGAGGGGGTTTGAATCAGGGGGGCAGGAAACCTGATCGCTAGAGCAAACCCACTCAGCGCTCGGAGCAGGTCCTTCCCAGGCCCCAAAGATAAACTTTTTCAATGAAACCCCCAATCACGAGCGAGGGTGAGGTTGGAGAAGGAAGGCTGGGGTCCACACTGCCCAAACGAGCCAAGTTCCACCGCGGACACCTAGAGCCCACGCCGGCCCGAGGAGGAGGGCAGGCTGGCAGCCGTGAGAGAGGTCCCCGCTCCCCGATTCCCGCCTCCTTCCCACCCGGGACTGCACGCTTACTCACTCTCGCTCTGCCTCTGCCGGGACCTTCGCGGTCCCACGTCGATGCGGGCAGAGGATGCAGGTATCAGCAACCGAACGGCGACATCAGGAAGATCAGGTGAGGCGTGCAGACTCCCGGCTCCAAGAGCCCAGCGCTGGCGGGGACTCCGTGGCGTCCTCGCAGCGCCAGCGTTCCTACCCGCCCAGCGCGACTCCAGGGTGGATCGCGGTCCCCGCTAAAACACCTCCTCTGGCGCCTTGAGACCGAATTTGAGCATTCGCCAATCAGCGGAGGCTGGCGGGACGGCCTTGGCCAATCGCGCGGCGGCACGGCTCGGGACACCGCCCCTCGCGGGCTTGGCGCTTCGAGCCGCGCGTTTCTGCGGCACCCGCCCAATTGTTGCCGCCTCGCCCCCTCCCCCTTCCGGGTACCTGGAAACCTCGAGCTGGGAGCCAATTCCTGCAGCGGGCGCGGGCTCGGGCGGCGCGGGGCGGCGGGAGCCGGGGCTTCTTTTGTTATGCAGAAAAGACCCGCTCAGGTTCCCGAGACGCGGGCGCAGCCTGGGGAGGGGAAGCAGATGGAGTTGGGAAAAACGATCCGCGCACTTTGGATGAAGCCGCCGCCGCCCCTTCCTCCCCCAGCACCAGGCGTGGAAACGAAGTTGCCCAGACTTGCAGGGCGAGCTCCTGACCCCCCAGAGCGGCGACGCGGAGCCCGGTGACCGCGGCCGCGGCGACAGATGGCGCGCCGGTTGGCCCCGCGGACCGGACGGGGAGCCCCACAATTGGCTAACCTTTATTATTATTTTTTAATTCAGGTCTGGAAATATTTTTTGCTTACCGTCGCACATAATTAACAAGAGGAAAGAAGCACGTAAAGCTACAATACGGACTTGCTTTCTGGGAAACAGTTAAAATTTCTTCAACATTGCTGATTTGTGTTAAATGTTTCACTTCCTCCTGCTGCTTAGTTAGAATGTGAATATGGATAAAGGCAGCTGGAGTTTTTTTCCCTTTAATTATTGTTCTTTTAGTAGCGCATGTTTGCGGTAGATAATTACGTTTCTGGCGGGAAGTTGGTAAATGTGCATAACATGCCTTAATGTTTTTTTATCCTTTGCCCTAACAACAGCCCTGCGCCCTCTGCCTCTTGTTTCCCTTCCTATTTGTGAAGTGCTCTTACATTTTTCCATAGTGCCTTCTTCAATCCACTTTCTTCTTCCTTTTTTTTTCTTTTTGGTATGGAGGATCGTGGATCAAGGATCGAACTCACGACCTTGCGCTTGCCAGGCAGCCACCTATGCGGCTGAGCTAAATCCCCAGCCCTCAATCCACTTTCCCTTTCTCCTCACCATTGCCTGTTCCTCTTTCCATTTGAAAAACATCGCACTATTTTCTTTTATTTCTCTTTGTATTGTGGGTTTCTTACATAAGAGCAACCGTGCCATATTTAAACGATTGTCTGATTTGTTTCACTTAACATTATGGTCGTGAGATGCATCCACTTACCTACAAATGCCTCAAGTTTATCCTTCTTTGTGGCAGAGTAATGTTCCATTGTGAATAATACCAGAGCAGATAGGTGTGTCCAAGATTTAGCTTTATGAATTGTGCTGGTATACACATGGGCATGTATGTATCATTGTAACATGTCTTTAACTCTTTCAGGAAGACACCCAGAAGGGGAATAGCTGGGTCCAATGGAATTTCCATTTTAATGTTTTGGGAACTCTCCATACTGATTTCTGCAGAGCTTGTACTAGTTTACATTCCCACCAAAAAAGTAGAAGGGTTCTTTTCGTGGGCAGCCTGGCCAGCGTTTCTTAGTATTTGATTCTTGATGAGGGTCATCACAGAATTCCCAGAGCTTTAATCGTCCATTATTATAGGACATTTATTAAAATTAGTGAATCAACATTGACATATATTATTTTTAACTAAAGTCATTGTATTAAATTTCGTTTTTACCTAATGTCTTCTTTTCTGTTCTAGAATGTCATACTATTCATGTCACCTTAGACTTGTGAACTGTGAAAACTGTTCATAATTTCTTCATGTTTGATGACTTCTAGCCACAGTTTCTGGGCATACTGGGAGGTACTTTGTTGGGGTGAAATTCCATCAGCTGGAATTTCAAGCATCGTTTTTTAAAGCATGTCTTTGGACATTCAGCCATAGACTACATACCTTACAGCACAGCCACAGTTTGTGCTTATTCTTCGTCTGTACCAGCCGACATTCCCCACCCATGTGTAAAGAACCATTAGTAGATATCAGAATGCTCAATCAAGTCCTTCTCTTTTATTTAGATTGTTGATGAACACAGCCTAAAAATCATCACCACACCATGTGCTGTCAAGACATAAAACTGCATAGTATTAAAGAAAAATAGCTATAACGCCTACCTGGCAAGTATCAGGTCCTGAGTTCGATTTCAGGCACACAAAAAAAGTAGCAATAGTAGTACAAAGTTGATATTGTACAATAGAAATAACCCTTATGAACTGAAACCTATCTTGTAGGTAAAGGTATAAAGATTAAAACTGTATCTCATTAAATTTTGCTCTTACTGGGAGGCAGAACATTTCTATGAGGAAATCTTTTTTTCTAACTGGTTTAATGTTCTGTGGCTTCCAAAACTCATAATCAAGCTGGTGCCTTAGGAGAGCAGAAATTTATTCTCTTACAGCTGAGGGGGCTGAAGTTAAAAAAAACCTAAGGTGTTGACATGGCTGCGTTCCCTCTGGGGATCTAGGGGGAATCTGTCCTTTTGTCTAAAAGGCTTTTGGTGGCTGTCAGCAGTTTTTGTTCTGGGTCTCCAAGTCTCTTCCTCTGTGGTCACATTACCTCCTCTTTTGTCTTTAAGTTTTCTTTGTATGTTTCATACAAGGACACTTACTGCATTTAGGTCCCAGGTAGGTAATCCAGGATGATCTTATCTAAAGGTCTGTGATTATGTCTGCAAAACCTTTTCCCCAAATAAGGTAATGTTAATAGATTCTATAAGTTATCTGTACTTTTTTGGAGATGTGTGGACCAATATTCAAAGTATTAAAGTGCATTCATTTCTCTCATATTTCGAAATAACTTGCGGTGTTTCCTGGAGGTTAGGCAGTTTTATGTTAACAGACCTTTTCCTGGTATTTTCCTTAGTGAAAGTACTTTTCCTGTTTCAGCTCAAACATAGCCTGTGTCTGCTCAAATCAAGAACGAAGTTAGTATGTAGCATTAGATATTTATTTTATTATAAGTTAAAGTGATCTTAGATGTGAAGGAAAACTGGAAAATGAGTGACAGGCCAATTCAGAGGCATTATTCCAAGAAATTTATTAAATTGATGCTTTTGAGTCCTAGACTTCATAAGCAGTCTGTTTGACTGTTAGTCAGCTGACTACGGATGCTGGTGGGGAAGCCGGCTGCGGAGGCCCTGTGTGTGTGTGGCTTTTCCACGGAGCTGACCTTCCTTACTGCATGGGAGCTGTGGGCAGTTAGTCGGACCTTTTCTGTAGTGGCAGACAGTATTATAAACAACTGTCTCAGCTGGCAAAATAGATGCCCTTTTTGGACATAGCCTAGGAACTAAGATAACATCAACTCTCCATTCCATTGAATGAAGAAGCTGGTTTCACCCACATTCAAGGGGGAGATACAACATGCTCCACGTCTCAAAAGGAAGTGTCGAAGAATTTGGGACCGGATTAAAAAACAGCCATGTAAAGTTTCATGCCAGTTGAATTAGTATTCTTCCTTAATGTCTACCTGAAAAGATCACTGACTTTGGGATACTATAGTGTTACCTACATGGCAACAGTCCCCAGTTGTGTATCATGATCAGCTTGTGTTTCTTGACCCTGTCTAGCATTTTAGAATCACGTGGAAGATCTGTAAAAATTCAAATACTTGAACTCCACATCTAGATATTTCTCGTTTGTTCTTCCTTTGGTCTGGAATTTGACTTGGTGTTACATATTTTTGAACGCTTGGTGTCTTGTTCCTTTACACCATGCTCATCGATGTGTCCTCTAATGAGGCATCTTTAGGTCCTGTCACTGAGAACAGGAAGAGCGGGGCAGGTGTGCTACTCTGGAGGAGGTGCAGATTTGGAAGGACCAGGTCTTGCTGGCTCATGGTGATGTCACTGGTTTTGGGAGGAGGAGAGGTCATAAATGAGAAATCTGATGGGTGGGACAGGAATGTAACAGAAGAGAATAAACACAGAAATACCTCTGTGCAAACAAACAAACTTGTAAATAGTAACCCCTTTGGAGTTTCAAATCTCAAGGTTTACCGGAACAAGAGATTTATCGTACTTCGTAAGAATACACCGCAGTGAGGTAGAACTCGTGTCAGTTCTAGGGAAAGGCAGTGTTCCTTTTCTTGTACTACTGCAAGCAATGGAAATAAACTGGTCTTGGTGTGGCATCTGTGTTCAAAAGTGAAGTCACAAAAGGTTAACTGGAAACTGATTTTGTATCCCACAGGGAACAGGGATCTTAGCTTCACGTGATGGTGATTTTCAAGCTTTAGTACAACTTGTAATTGTCTTTATAGTCCCTATTGTGATCCTCTCCCCCTTCCTCCTGCTCTCTCTTTCTCTCCCCTCCCCCTGTCTTTTCGCTGCTTTTCTTCCCTTGTCCTCCCCTCCCCCTTTCTTTCTCCTACTTCTGTGTAGAGATAAGATCTCAGTAAATTGTCTAGGTTGACCTTGAGTTTATCAACTAGTTGCCTCAACCTCCTGGGTTGCTGGGATTACAGATATATACCACTGTGCCCAGGTAATGGTTCTTAAACTGAGGGCTGCTATTTTAAATGACCTTTGTCTTCAGCCATTCATTGTTCTAAGAATCTGATGCATTTGCTTCTCTAACTGCTCATAAGTTTAGAGAAGGCAGAACATTTATTTTTGGCTGGCTAGAAACAGTGTGAGAGGGAATGAGTCCATGATCAGTTCCTGCCCATGACCTTAGCAACAATAAAAAGACAGTAATAGCAATGGGCAGTTAAGGCTCCAAAGTTAAATGACATCCAGATGTCCAGCTGTTCAAAGGGAGGTGTTTTAGTTGGGATTGTCTGCATTGCAAGAAGCAGAGAATTCATTCTTTATCTTCTGCAGATGTGTGGTAACACTTGCCACTATGGAGCAAGATTGTATATATTTTTTAATAGCCATGTGATTTGCATTTTCACTAAATGAAAAGACACTGCATTTGGTGTGCGTGTATATGTATCTGTGTGCATGCTTAAAGCAGGGAT